TGAGGATATAGTGACGACACAGGTTGACTCTGGATAATGTGGAGCTTGCTGTGTGTGTGTGTGTGTGTGTGTGTGTGTGTGTGTGTTTGTGTCTGTGTGTGACTCCCTCAATCACATGCAGGAGGGAGGTGAGGGAGCTAAAGAGTCACAGGGAACGTGAGGGGGAGATTGAAAGGGGGGGGGGTATAGAGAGAAGGATATAGTGGGAGAGGCTGGAGAGGAAGAGAGGGAGGGAGGGAGAGAATGCAAGGCGGAGGAGAGGCGAGGGCCGGTGCAGTGCAGAGCTGGAACGGACACCCAGAGCTCAGCCTTCCTCGCGGTTGCCATGGAAACCACATTCCTCCCCCGCCTGCATCCCTACAGACTGCTCCGACTCTATCTCTCTCCTCGCTTCTCTGTTCTTCATCCTGTCTTTTTCATTCCCCTTTTAATTTGTGTCTTTGTCCCCCCCCCCCCCCCCACTCCCCTCCCCACTCTTTCTGCTCTGCTCTACACCATCCCGGCATCGAGCACAGTCGTGATGATGCACACTCAGCAATAGCATTGATTTCATCTGCGTCGCTCTCTGGGACGAGGTGAATCGCTAATCAGACAGGGTTTATTTTGCATTCCCCTGCGCCATCAGACCCATGAGAACTCTGTTGTTTTCTCGGCATCTCTCTATTTTCTGCTGTCTATTTTTATTCCCCCCCCCCCCCCTCCCTGTTCAGCACCATGCTTCGATAATGCCCCCTCTAGTCATCGCGTTTCTACCCACACATACGGCACCTCAGCTTCTTCTCTCTTCAGTTACGGTGTCTGTCACGGGCCGACGGCCCCTTCGTCGTATTTGATCAACTGCTTCCACGCTCATCTCTTAACCCTCCACTTGCAACCCTTTTGGTAGCTCTCTTCCTGTCTGCTTTTATCTTTCGGTGCCAGACCCTGTTCCTCAGCCACGCAGCTCCGATAAAATCTCCCACTCTCGCCATCATGTGTTACTCATTTTGCTTCATGTGCATGCTTCTCTCTCTCATTATTCCATCAGTTGGAGGTGCTGTGTTTGGTGTGTGTGTGTGTGTGTGTGTGTGTGTGTGTGTGTGTGTGTGTTGTGGAGCAGCAGCTGCTCTCTGCCACCGAGGCCTATTAATAGGAATCTTAGCCATGTAGCTTTGTTTTTTTTTCGGCGGCCGCATTGTTGGGAAAGCATCGCCGAGGCTCCTCGCCAGGTTACGCTGGCTTTTGGTACCAAGCTGATGAGAATCTTTCATTCTGTCTTGAGGGGGATGGTGTTGGGGGGGGGTCTCTCTCTCTCTCCCTTTGCTCCTTCACACGTAACAAAGCTACAAGTCCTTGAGCAGTGACAGCATTAACTGGAAAGACTCTCTGAAATATTTATTCCTTTCAATATCGGCTTGGAGGCAAGAGAAGTGGATTTTTGCTAAGATGCAATGGTGCCTGGGAGAGACTTTTAACCCACCCCGCCCCCCTCTTGCAGTTAGTTAAGGCTACAGTGAAGCTGCTCAGTGCGTGTTGATATGGAGCTGCCTCTTTAAGGCCGCCTCACTACCGACTGTCCTTTTATGGCACCGCATCCGGTCAGGTGACGAAGGAGTAGTCACAAAGCTCCTCTGAGAAATGCCTAGAAATGACTGAATAGCTCAATACATGGTGTGGTGTGGTTGGGGGATGGTGATGAGGGAGGGGGGGGTTGTAATGCTCAATGCTGTGTGTGTGTGTGTGTGTGTGTGTGTGTGCGCGCGCATGAGGGTGTCCAGGTTGGTTTATGTAATAAAGGGCTGTGCAGGCTGATGCTGCGCCGATAGGGTTGGGGGGGGGAGCTGCCAGGTGGGATGCGGGAAGAGCACCTCTGTTCAAAAGCACAGGATCGTTTCCTCGTTTATGCCATAAATCACGGGTCCTTCTTTTCCATTTGTCAAGGCAAGGTCAGAGGTTACTGCTTTCATTTCACAAGATAAATTGCCTGATGCTGTTGATCCTGTTTAATTGGGCTCAATATTTATCAAGGGCTGCACACACACACGGAGAAACCCCCCTCATGCATGCATGCATGCATATGTGCACGGATGTGTATTATAGGTGAATGCTTTGTATTGTCCTGAGTCTTACGGTATTGCTGTAGTCTTCTGGGTATTCTAAAGACATATTGTTCTTGTTGTATTTTCTACGATAGTTATTACATTCGGTAAGAGTCAGAGTGTAATTACGGGCGAACAGTTCAATCCTCGTGTCAATATGTCCTTCCCGTAATTGTGGCAAGGAGGTTTATTACTCTTCTTTGAAACTGCAACATCTTTGTCCACATGTTGGAAGAAGAACTAGAAGATTTCCACATTTCTTTGATGGTTTTACTACCATCTCTAGTATTATTTATCTTTAGTCACTAAAGAAATGCCAGTAACGGAATATTGCTTTTCCTGGTGGCCACTGTGTCACAAATGGAAAAATAATCGTATATATTTGACAGCTTTATTACGTTATAAACTGCTGATTAAATTTGACAATATCATGTAATCTAATACAAGGACACTGCAAACGACAACCTGAAAAATAATAGTGTAATTGAGTTCAACAAAAACACGACCGCAAAAGAAATCTGCACAAACTTTGTATTTATTGCCGGGCCATGGATTTTGATCACATGATATTGTACTCATGTGCGTTTTATGACACTCGCATGAGGTTGCAACTGCATAGATTTCACACTCTGCTGACACGCTGTTACACAAGCAGGAGTGAGCAGCATTTAATTTCTTCAGGAATATGTTTTGTCATCATCCACAAAATGAAGCTGGCAAATTAGACGTCTTACACGACACGTACACCAACACTAAGACTGTATTTCACTTCCTGCTATTCTTACAGAAAACCAGCCATTGATTGGCTCTAAACAACCTACAAAATCCTTTAAATATTTTATATTATGTAATATTTAAAGGGAGAGTTTTCTATCCCCCCGAGGTACGGCATATGTCTACTTAACTAGTTCATATCACGGATCTGTGTGTGTGTGTGTGTGTGTGTGTGTGTGTGTGTGTGTGTGTGTGTGTGTGTGTGTGTGTGTGTGTGTATGTGTGTGTGTGTGTGTGTGTATGTGTGTGTGTGCGCGCGCGCGCCCACCCATACAGATCACATATCTGTCTTCGTTCGGGATCTTTCTGTCTGTCTCTCGTGCATTGATGATGTGAAGCTTCCCTGACGTTCCCTCGTTTTGTGTGCCGAACAGTATGTGTGTGTGTGTGTGTGTGTGTGCACATGTGTGTGTTTTTTGCAACTACGAATCTCCTGTGTGGTAAATGTGACGTGGACAGTTTATGAGAGAGAAGCAGCCGGCCTCGGTAAGGACGGTAGCAACATGTGCTCGGTCATGTGTGCTGTGATCGATATGCTTACATCGTCCTTTCAAGCCGCTGCCTTGTAAGCCCCGCCTCTCCGCTCTGATTGGCTGGGTCTGTGGCTGCATCCGACAATTTAACTGGGGGCAGTTTTTTGTTTTTTTTTGGTCTCTGTCCAAAAAAAATGCCCAAGTTTCTCCTCCTTTTGTCTGCTGCTCGGCTCACCTTTGCACGTCGGAGTGAAAGAATGCCATGATGATGGAGTTAGCGTTGCATGCCATTTAGTGTCACTGAGCCTGCTGTGTGCGCCTGCAACACAATGTAGTGTGCCCCCGCCTGAAAATGTTCCCCAATTTAAAAGGAAAGTGGTACATTGAAATGCAGTTTGAAGGCACCGGGTGCTGCAGTTTAACCAAAACAATGAAAGCTCTGTATCATCATGCAGGCTCTGTAAATAAAATGTACTCCCCCCCCCATGCAGACACACCCTGCTCTGTTCCCCGTCACATTTCATTAATAATGCATGTATGCAGGGCTTTAATGGCAACACTGTAACATTCTATTTTAAAAGAAAATACACCTTCACCCTCCGTGTCAGTGTGTTTTGTATCGAGTTGTGATCGACAAACAAATTCACAAGCATGCAAAACTGTTCACAGGCAGAACAATCACGTTACTGAAGATTTAACCGCCACACATACATGAAAGCATATAGTCGCTCCTCTCCCCCCCCCTCACACATCCTCACTCTCAATCCCTTCCTCCACCCACTCGAAAGCCCAGGCGTGTAATCTTGTTGGTTTTGTACACATGTGTTGATGTCATCATTGTGAACATAAAAATATTTCACTTATGTTTCTTAAACGAGTCTCCAGGAGTGCAGTTTTTTCTCTCGCTGTGCTAATTGGACCGAATACTGCAGGATTAAACAATGCGATTAATTCAGCTGCAGTGCTGCTTTGCCCGTGATATTGCTGGGAGAGGGAATTGGGGTAGAGAGTGATGTAGAGTAATGCAGCGTGATTCAAAGGCATCAATGCTGAGAGGCAGGACTAGTGAGACCCAGCTGAAGAAGAAAAATGGTTTCTATCTGCTGCTCCATTGTGAGATTACAGATGTCTGCTGGGACACGCAGTCTGGCGAGAAAGCCGTTAAATCTGCGGCTGAACTGGAGTTGACCGTGGAGGTGACCAGTTACCAGTCGGTGGGTGGGGGGAGGGGGGGTTGCTCACTGTAAATTGAATTTTGGCTGCAATGGTCTGATGAAAAACGTGGATTAGACCCACAATTAGTGGATCGGGGTCATGCGTCGCACAACTTCCTGACCTTTGTGTTTTGTTTGTTGAGGAATTAGAAGAACACAACGCAACGCCTTTCATTGTGCCTTGATTTGTGAAGCAGCACCTTTTCACCCGAGGCGGGCGGCGAGGTTCAGTCGTCGTCGTCGCCGCCGCCGCCCCTTTAAGAGCAGCTAGCGAAGCGCTCGGTCCTGTTGGTGCTGCTGCTGCTGATGGCAGCGCTGCCAGTTGATTGGTTGTGGCTGTCAGGGCTGAGGCGCTGGAGGGATGCTGCTACGTATCTCTCTCCCCCACCCCTCCCTCTCTCTCTCTCCCTCTCTCTCTCTCTCTCTCTCTCCATCTCCCTCTTGCTTGCTTGCATCCCTCTGAATAATCCACATCTAGGGCAAGCAGGCTGAGAGGCGATCCAGTGCTCAGCTCCTCTCTGCAGGCTGAGAGAAGAGACAGAGAGAGAGAAAGACAACGATTTTCAACGCAGGAGGAAAAGCGTGAGATTTTGACGGACCGGGGAAGATACCAAGAACAGGAGAAGATTTTCGTCCGAGGATATTATTTATTTATACATATTGTTTATATATCTATATATATATTTGTACACACACATATAGATATTTCTATATATACATTTATCCCTGTACATAACTGTATTAGTGCTCGTCTGTTTATATTCATATTTTTATATGTATTTGTGTGTGTAAATATATATGATATATAAGCAAAAGAATATATATATATATATCTATGAATTTATATGCGTATCACTGTGAACCAAGAGAAGCAAGAGGAAATTTCTACCATCGGGGCTGGTCTCTGATTGTGTGGTCGTATACAATATTTTGAATTTTTCCTTTTGATCTTCTACGTCAAGAGGACAAAGACTACGTGCCCATTTTGTATTTTTGTTTTCCCGTTGCCGCTTCTCCTCTCTCTTGATCCTTTTTTTTTTCTTCTTTTTTCTTTTTCTACATCCGAAAGGAATAAAGCGGAGAGAGTGGCAAGGATTTGACAAAAACGAAAAAAATCTCTAAAAATTCCTGCGATCGGCGTTATTTCCGTCGGCATTAGCGCTCCGTGAGCCGATCACAGCGTGTACTGTGAGATCTGAGGAGGCAGCAGAGACAGAGTGCCACGCCGCTCAGCTCAGCTTCGGTCCAGCCAGCGCAGCCGGCATGCACAAACACCACCACTGCTGCAAGTGCCCCGAGTGCTACGAGGTGACCCGTATGGCTGCCCTGCGCAGGATGGACGCCCCGTCGTACGGAGGAGACTGGCAGGCCGAGCCCTATGGATACCCGCCGGGGTACGGGGGAGGCCAGACCTTACCCCCTCCGGCCTCGGGGGGAGGTGGAAGCATGGGAGGAGGAGGAGGAGGAGGAGGTGGAGGTGGTGGTGGAGGCAGCGGTGGAGGAGGAGGAGGAGGAGGAGGAGGGGGCACTTTGGGGAGAAGTAAGGGCAAGAGTATGGCTGGTGGGGGCCCTGGAGGCCCCAACCCGAAGGGCCATTCCAAGTGTGGCCCCAAAGTCAACGGCAACTCCAGTGGACAAGGAGGATGGTGGCCCGAGTGCACCTGCACCAACCGGGAGTGGTACGACCAGGTAACTCCTCTTTCTCACTCTGCTAGATAGCTGAGGCCTGTGAGGCCTGTCTGTGTGGGTGGGGGGGGGGGGGCGCAGGGGGCCGCTGTTGTAGAACAGAGACCGTCATGTATCAGCTGTCGATCCAGAGGAGAGAATTCATATTTAGTATTCATCCCAAGCCCTCCGTTTCCCCCCCATTTGTTGACCGTGGGTCCTCTGTTGGAAGGCGAGTGAGGAGACGAGAACAGGACTGAGCCGGTTCCGCTGCACGCGCACAGGGGATGATCTTCATGTTTGGATTGGATGCAGATGACTAATGCTTATACATTTAACACACCTAGTGTGTGTCGTCGAAGGCTCACGCCGATGCAGTTACCGTAGGCCAACAAAATGGTGCATTTTCACCCACTGAAGCAGCACCTGGGTGCAGTTTGCAATTATTTCGAGTTACCTCTCAAGCTGGTAACATTGACGACTGGTTTCGCGCATCAGACGTAAGAAATGGATCCCTCAGAGATCGACTGATGTAGGATTGTGTCTCATTGGCTCAGGGTAGAGAAAGAGATGATGAAGTTGATCTCTGAGACCAGGTCCATTTCTCATTTGGCCTCCATCTTTTTAGCAAGCAGTTATTGCTCAAAAGGATCACCATACATCGAACGTGTTGTCAGGAAAAAAAAGAAGGGAATCAGCAGTAATCTGTGCCCAATCGCTGCCTGTCACACACGCCGCACAGTGTGAATGAAACGGCCTCTTTGCATGTGTCCATTTTGTTTCTATTATCCCCCAATTATTTACATGTATTTCTAAATCCCAGTTGATTAGAAGGTCAGAACAGCTTCAGAAGCGCAGTCTTTAATTAAGGAAGGTGCATTGATGTGAGCACGAGAGTGAGCCCGGGTGGGGGAAGGGTAGCTCGGCGAGCATGAGATTCAAGGAATGATTCTAGCTGTGCATGAGTATGCGCCTACGTGGTCCCGTGCTTGCGGCGAGCGAAGCGAAGCTGCATCGTTTGTCGTCCCTGCGTCGTGAGGCCACGTTTTGAAGAAATGTGAGGCCACGGGAGGAAAGGGAAGGTGAGAAGAAGCACAGGGGTAAAATGGAGGCTGAGATTTTAGTGGCAGAGTGCAAGAGATCCCCCTGAGCTGAGCCCACACATGAACCGCAAACCTGGCTGCTGTTGGCGGATTACTACAGGAGGCAAAAAGAGATCGACGCGTTCTTCGGTGTAAAATCTATCCGAAGCCTTTTTCTTCTTGACCAGTCGGGCTTAATTTCATGTTTCACACATTCCAAAGCTCACAGCAGATGGGATTATGTAAGCCTTTATTGCTCACATGGAGCATTTTACTATCCGACGGTTATCGCCGGCTAATTTTTCTACCGCTCATTTCCAGCATTCCACATTCAACTTCCACAATGAAACAAACTGGCGTCTTAATTGTGATCCGTGTTGGGATCACACGTTGTTGAAGCAGCACAGTTGATGGACGAATTCTATCTGGTCCTTTACGAAGCATCCGTGCTGTAACATGTGAATGTGCACCACACAAAAGGCTCTGTGCCTTCAGACCAGCAGCCTCCACATCGGAATAAAAAAAAAAATAGAATGAATCAGCGATGGACGGCGGCGAGGAGAAAGCAGCAGTCCCTGGGGTGAAAATGCCAGGGTTGAAAAAGAGAGAAATAAGCCAATAAAGGCCGGCAGTGGGCCTGGAGAGGGGGAGGGGATTATGTAAGAGGAGGCAGTTGGTGGTGCTGTCAGAGAGAGAAAAGCGAGCGAGCCCTGACACTGTGGACAAGCATCTGTCCCTCCGTCTCTTCGAAAACCGGGCATGCAAGCGGCCAGCGCGCTGCCCGGGAACGGCCCGCGGCGTGGACGGAGACGCACCCCACCCACCACCACCACCACCGCCGCCGCCGCCTCCTCCTCCTCCGCCTCCGCTCCATCCTCAGTCATCGTTGCCTATCCTCGGGTGGGGAAATGGGAACGCTGCCCCTCCCCCGCTACCTACACAACACACAGGCCGGGAGAGCAGGGCAGCGATCGCACACACACACACGGGCGCGCGTCTATTATCTTACAGTTTCCGCGGCAACTCTGTGTTTTTTTTTTGGGATGCTAGCGCGAGGAAAAAAAAACCATAAACCTCACACGGTCATCCGGAAATATCTGAGCTGGCTTTTATCATAGCTGGATCGTTGACATTTTCAATGGCTACTGTAGCCGTCAACCTTTCATGCACATGTGAGGAAATCGTTACACAACCCCGAGACATGATGATGACGATGATGGCGGCGTATTCATTCATTTGTTTCTCCCTCTGTCATCTATTTACCAAACAATTGTGCTGTTTCTGTCAAGCGCTTGCTAGGTTAATTATGGATGATCACAGTTGGGATTATGAGAACATTCTTTAAAACAAGGGCTTTTGAATTTAAATCTGAGAGAAGTAGAGACCCCGGTCTACCGGGAGCGTCATTCAGAAAGCCCCCCCCCCCCCCACCCCGGGCCTTCAATATGTCTTTGTGTGTTCTCCAGCGCCGTGGCTAAAATATTAATTGGATTTTACTTTATTTATCAGCATGGAGATTTGGCACCGAAGGCTCTGCCCAAGCCGTTGTTCTTAACAGGCCTCCGCGGTGACTGTGGTAGTTTAAGTGCAGGCCGAGGCGCGGTGGGCGCTCCATCTCAAACACTCCCAGAGGTGATTACGACTGGAAAGCCTTCGGGCCCGGATAAAAGATGTTGGCGCTCGCGTGCGTGTGTGTTTCTCTTATTGTCTCGTTGATTTATTGGTACCATTGGTTTGTACGTCTGTGCGGTGAGATTTAGCGTCGGCCGGATTTCATTTGCCATTCCTGTAAGAGCAACCCGGAGAGTATTAACGGATGGGATGTACCTGTGCTCCATGTCCCGATATCGCGAGCTGGATCCCAGGCCGTTACCCTCAAAGGCTCCATCTTAAACTTGGAATATCATCATCAGATGAAGGGAGATTTAGATGAGCTCGTTTTAGGATTAAAAAAAGCCAGAACACATTTTTTAAACAGGTGAGGGCTGCGTTTAAATGCAGATTAAGAATGGAGTAAAGCAACGAGGCGTAATGGATGTTCTTGATAATTCTAAACCAGAGGTGTCTCTCACTACTCATAAACGGAGGACTCCTCGTGAGGCCAGACAACGTCGACCTCGAGAGACAAGGACACGTTGAAAGCGCCGCCTGGTTGTGGGATCTTTCTTCTCATGGGACACAAAATATGTGCTTGTGTCTGTCGTCCCTCTTGCGGTCGTAGGTTTCCTTCACGTCACAGGCGCTGGTGTGAAGCAGCTGCCGTTTGGTCATTTTGTACGTCTGGCCGAGATGTCGAGATGACGACTTCAGTCGTCGCTCGCCCGACACACGTCTCAGGTGTGGGAGAGTTTGAAGGCTTTCTCAAACCCCAGATTTCTGTCCACTCGGCGCATTCATCCTTCTTTCTCTAACGGAGCAGTGGTCGCGGTTCCGATGATGTGGCTCACCCCAACAAGCTGAAACAGTGTAAATACCCATTGAGATCTGTTCATCCTCCACTTCAAACCCTGTACTCATCTGTCTCGGACACATGCTTAATGTCAGATTCAACCAGAGATGCTCACAAGTCAAGTCAAGAGTCCAAGTCAAGTCTCAAGTCTCTGAGCTAGAGTCCAAGTCAAGTCTCAAGTCTCTTGTGGTTATAATAAGTGTTGCCACACGTATATTAGCTTACAATTATATGTCCAACAAAGCCCACCTGATACCACAAGGTTATGAACTGAAAAAATGGTACTCTGGGTATCAAGAAAATATTGCAAAATGCAAGCAATGAAAATTAGTTTTTCACTTGCAGAGCGTAATAATTTGTTCCCGTAACGTTGGGTCGGTAGCTAAAGCCAGAAGCAAGCTAACGGTAGATGGTCAATGCTTGCTTAGCTAAACATGTTTACTCACCTATCGGTGAGTTTTCAGATGCCTGATAAAATTGCACGTGGTTGAGCCCGAATCTTTTATGGTAATACCGCATAAATTGCATTTCGCGGTTCTTTTGTTGCCGTCTTGTAGGAAAGTTTTGAACCCAAAGCTCACGACGAATGGCACAGCAGCGGCCGGTGCATTCGACATCTTTGACAACACACGCGCCGCCGCAGCCAGCAATATATGTCAATGTATGTGTAACGTAGGCAGGTATCGGAGGGAAACATCTGATGAGCTCGCTATACCGAGCTCATCAGATGTTTCCTAAAATTAAACATTGTTCACGAGTCCCAAAGCTCAAGGTCGAGTCTGAAGTCTTTCGAGGACGAGTCTCAAGTCAAGTCTGAAGTCACTGTGTGTGCGACTTAAGTCGCACTCGAGTCCGAGTCTCAAACTCGAGTCCCCATCTCTGGATTCAACCACCAGCAGCGGGATGTTAACCTTTTAAGAGTTTGAATTTCACCACCAGGAAAAGCATGCAGGTCTCGGTAAACTTGACGTTTAGCCATCCAGACAAATGGCTTCAGATCAAAGGATACAGGAGATGCCAAATATCTCTGGTTGGTTCCTCCCACTTTATCATGAGGCTGTTCATCTGCAAGCTCATTGTATTCACAAAAACAACCATAATTTAAATTTGGGCGAACAGGACCGATCTTTCTTAAGTAGCAGGAGATACTGTTCTCATCTGCTGGTTGTTTTTAGTGTTAAAGACATTGTGTATTTTTAAATACACCTCCGATTTTGAACCCGATGCGAAATCTAACGACAGAATGTTGCCCTTTCTTGTAAGTGTTCTTGCAAACTGTGCACAGCTATTCGAAAGTGTTTGCACCACAGTGAGCTCTGATTTTAACACCATTAACGGCTTTTAAGTACTTTTCTGGACTGCGGTTGCTTCAGCGAAGGTGCAGGTGCACCACCTTTACTCTTGTGTGACGATGCAGGCAGTAACAACCAGTACTTATGTGAAGCCTGTGTTGCAGTGTAGTTTCTCAATAATCCGAATGAAGGTCAACAATT